CTTCAATGGAATATTGCTAGGAAGAAAAGGGACAAGAAATTTGGTGGGAAGATGGTCAAGAATGAATAATGTTCTGATATTTTTCTAACAGTAGCATCCAAAACCATGCCATAATGCAGTGCCAGATACGGGTATTTATGATTTCTCCACCACAGAAATTAAAACAGTGGATTAGAACGATAGTTGACCGACTCTTCACTTTAAATCAATGGAATGATGACTCTTAACATCGGAATACAGGAACCTAAGGTTGATTAGATCAAAGTTCAGTCAGTGACAATCTTTATCCTGTTAACACACTGATAATTGTTTGAAAGTGATTTTTTCCATTTTGACTTTCTCCAGTGAAAATTACCGATTTATTAAGAAAATGAAACCTATGAAAGTGATGTTGCAACAAGCAGTGAAGAATTGTGAAAATAGCATAAGAACTGAGAAGGGGAATCAAGATCCAAGGAAACTTATTATGCAAAAAAAAAAAAAAAAAAGAAAAAAATTTTCACTTCATCCTTGAAGTAAGCAATTAAAATATCTAAAAGAAGTAACTGTGCTAATCCCCTGTTTGGTTGCCGAGAAAAAAAAAGGAGAAAAGAAATCCTTTCTTGTCCTGAGAAAAGAACCCTTCATTTCAATAGTTTCAGGGTACAAACTGATTGTGAATTTTAGTTTTTTAATGAAACTTCATTTTCAATAGTTTTCAAAGCACTGTACTTGCGAAGGCCCAGGAATTTTGTATCTTTACATTTGCCACAATTTCTCATCAGCCAAACAACATTAAACTTAGCTCATCAAGATCAAGCAAGAGAATTCTAAAACGCTCATCAACTTGAACAGCGAAAATAATTGGTTAAGACTTTAGAATCAAACTTTCTTCCTTTTTTCCTGGAGATTCAAGGCAACCAAACAGAGAATTTCAAACAACTAACCATTACAAACAAAAGGAAAATGTTAAAGAAGTAGTACACCAAGAATTTAGATTTTTAGTGCAATGAAAAACACTTAACGGAAGCCATAAACTTTCTTCTCATTTCCATCAAATTCTGCGGAACCAAAAACGGCAAATTCATATCAAAACAGTAACTTTAAAATTCAAATGAAAGTTCATTGCATACCTTCTGCTTCCGGCAACAGTTGTGCATATGATCCAAACTCAACGAGGCAATTCAAAGCCACAAAACTGAAAACCAGAACAGAGACCATCTTAACCGTCGAGAAGACAAAACCCATAATTCCTTTCCCAAGACAAACTCTCTCTAATGTCCTAAGAACCAAAACCAAATCCTTAAACAGAAACAGAGTAAAACAGAGTAATGGAACAGAGGAAAGTCTTGTCTCAAGGGGAAGAAGACGGCAGAATAGGGAGGTTTAGAGACAGAGAGAGTTGAGTTTTGGAAATGGGTTTAAATTGAGAGAGGCAATTGCAGCGAATGCAAAGTAGTAGAAGCAGAAGACAGTTCTATAGATGTTTTTGGTTTTGGAGAAACAGAATGAAAAAACACGAAAAGGTACGAGTAAAAAGAGTGAGTAGGTTTGACAGAGACCGGTACGGAGCCGCCGTGTGGGGCTGTCCACAACGGCGGGCGGGGTTGTGGACGGTGGACTATTATTTGCTAACGGCGGCAATATGTACGTAAATACTGAATTAAAAACACTTCTTATATTATCGAGAAAGGAAACTGGAAATCAATATCTCTAATATTTAAAATGTCATAATTATTTATAAAATTATTTAAATATTTTTATATTTTAATTCATTAAAAATATTTCAATATTTTTATTATCCATCTTTATATTCTAATTGATAAGAAGTCTTATTTTTTTAATTTCAAAATAAAAATACTTATTTTATACAAATACTCAACAGATTCTGCCATTAACTAGTACTATTTATAAAAAATATATATAAATTCATCTAAAAAAGGATAAAGAAAAATATATAAATTCATTATATGGCATTAATTAAATACATGAATGTTATATCTAGGGACGGAGCCAGAAAATGATCTAGGGGGCGCAAAGTGCTATTTGAAATGTATATGCTAAAAATGAATTTTTTGACTTATAATTTATAATAAAATTAAAACTTAAATATACAAAAACTAAAATTTTAAAGATTTTAAATGTAAAAAAACTTGTAAAAGTTTATGTGTATTTAAATTTCAATATAAACCATAACTTTTATCACAAAAGATTACTCAGTATGATCCAAATAGTAAAATTATATGTTCTTCAAAATTAATAATACCAATTTCAAATTAATTTTATTTTGCTACTTAATACAAAGAATCATTAACTATATATATTGCAATGACAAACATGTTAGGTAAATATATTTTATTAAATTTATTTTACTTGTCAAGTGATTAATAATTTATCATAAGATCTATAAAAGAATAAAAATTAGAACACACCATTTTATTTTTTTAAAAAGGGTTTGTTTGATTTTTTTTAAAGTATAGGACCTATTTAATTTTTTTCAAAAGTCTAACGGGCGAGTGCCCCCCCTGCACCACCAGGCTCCGTCCCTGATTATACCATGCATTTTATTATAATTTATAAAATTATCAAAATTTACATTATAAATACAAATAATATCACATAGTTACATCTAAATTAAAAATAGTCAATACCACATTATTGTAAGATTTTAT